TCTGCACAGTTTAAAATGAAATTATATTGGGGCCTTTAGACACTGCCAGCAAAAAGAGAAAATCAAAAGAAGATAGCTCTACCTCTGGGAGTCTTGAAGCTGTTTACTGGGCGAGGAACTCATGTAAATTAGCTGGCCAATTTCCCATCTCAGTCTACTCCTCAGATACCAGGGATGAGAGCAATATAAACATCCAGATAGACCTCTTTCCTCACAACCCCACATAGCTCTTGGGATATTTCCAAACTAGGACTGGATTAACTCCTGTGTCATAAAGGAGAAGGAACTGGTTTATCTCTGTATTTTAATCAATTATATAGTCCCAGTTACCATAGTCTCTGAGCCTCTCACAATCTTTAATATATTAATTTTCACCTTGTTAGTTAGGGTAGTGCCCAGAGAGAGCACAAGGGCCAGATTTTTAAAGGTATTTAGGCACCAAGTGGGATTTTCAAAACCATCACAAGTTTTAGGGGCCTAGGATGTCTGTACCCGGGTCTCCGGAGCACCAAGCTCATGCTCTAACCATTGAACCATGCTTTCACTCTCTTGCTAAGTAGAAATATTGCATCTAAAACCCCTCCCTAAAATTATACTATTGTAATATTTACACTAAGTAATATAACTACTCCCATTTATAACTGTGTGGAAAATGACAATACCCTAAGTGCTATTTTATACTATTCAACAATTCCTCTTTAACATTTGAGCTTCCACACCCGTCTTTGTATGTAATGCACATTATATTATGTAATGCTCTAGTATTCAGTCCTGATTTTTAAAGAACCTAACAAAAAAATCTGTTCTGCCTCCAAATTCATGCCTAAAAAAGAAGTTGCAGGCCCATTTATATCATTGAGAGATATGCCCAGGTAGCATATCTGAGCACATGCATGGTTAGAAGAATCAGAGTCCAATAGGTTGCTGGTTTTCACTGTGGAGCTGGTTCTGCTTTGAGACAGCATAGAAATGTTGGTGTGTCTGCTCTGAACTTGGCTGCATGGTCTTTACGCAGCTGCCCTGCAGCTAGTAACTTACTTTTCTTAGTAAGGAAAACCAAAATGCTAGAAAATAAGGGGAAAGTAGTAATTTAATTATTTGTGGTCAGGATATACTAGAGTCTAACCTGGAACAAAGTTCAGTCAGTTTCTACAATCTTATATTTGAAATCTTTATATTATATTCCTATACCAGCAGGCAGGAAAACAGGTATGTTGAACCACTATGGTATTTTTCTACCGTTGGAACTAGAACACTATATGCAAGTTTCCCAACCGTTCTTGCATCATGTAAATAAAATGGCAGATTTGAATTGAAGAGTTTACTGGTATTACAGAGAGACCGAAAAGTTCTGTCTAGCAGATCCAAGTGTCAAGTGTTAGGGTTTCAGAATATGACAATGCTAGAAAATTTAGATAAATTCCAAATTAACAGAACTTTGTACACAAAACTGGGAATCTAGCAGCATGGGTAATTTATTTGCAGATGACCCTGTATAAAATCCTTATATTCAAGAGTTCCAGCATGAATTTGTTCTAGCAAAGAGTTAATATGTTTGGGGCCAAATTCTTCAGTCTAATTTTGCAGACATACCCCAGGCTGTATCCATAAATAGGTGCCCTCATATTCCATATGTGCACATGCAAATCAAGCAGTTGGATACCCAACTATCTCACTGCATGTACAAATAGCTATTTGTACATGAAAAAAATGTAGGAACAGTAAGTTATGTATGCAAAAGGAGGGGACAGGGGTAGAGGCCCAAGGCTGAACATTGACTCCTTCTTAGCAATTACACAAACAAAGAAATTAACACCCCCAGACATCCCCACCTTAGCCTGCAGCTAGATCTCATGGACATAGTTTCTGACCTGGGCAGAGGTATATGAACCAAGCTTGGTTGCTCTTATCCACAACCCTCCCATTTTATGTATTTAGTTTGAAAGGGACGGTCAGTTAAAAATATTTTAAGATGATGCTAGGCACACTTTGTAAGAAAACTTGTTCCTTCACAACACATTTTCTTTCCACGCTTGATTCCACAGTGAAGTCAATGAATTCTGAATTTAACATTACATTCACAATTTCCATGGCAAGTAGACTGAGGTAAAATACACAGGCTTAGGACTTCTTTGTACTTGAATAAACTCATACCCCACCAGCTTCTGCAAATAATCATTTTTCCAAAGGAAACAGAAAATAACTGGCAAAGCACATTGTTTTTGTGCAATCCTCTCTTCTTTCACATTTCCTCAGCTCAAAGTCTTTCGTTAAAATTGCTTTAATTTGTAGATTAATAATCTGAAGAATTAGTCTATTGGGATTAGTGAGTAATATTTTAATTGGATTTTCTTTTTGCAGGATGATATTCAGTTACTGAAGGAGTTGAAAGTTAATCATTACCTGCTTTCTATTTCATGGCCTCGTATTATGCCCACTGGTATTAAAAGTAAGCATAACCATTTAACTGTAAACCTAAAAGCACATATAGGCAAAACAACTTTGCTGCATTTGAGAATACCATAAAAAATGATATGGCATATTTGTCACATATTACTGGTAAATATATATATTTCTCTATCAGGGTCCTTACAATGTCAGCCCTTTCCATGGTATACAGGTGCCTATACATCCACCAATGTAATCTATCTATCTATCTATCTATATATAGCTTACATCATTTTAGAAAACATGTTCCAATGATTACTATCTAAATGATGTAAAAGCAATTAATTTTCTTCAACATTTGTTTCCCCAGAAGAACAGGTGAATGAAAAGGGGATAAAGTTCTATAATGATACAATTAATAGTCTTTTGGAGAACAAGATTATCCCTATTGTGACCCTCTACCACTGGGATCTTCCACAGGTCTGAGAATATTTAAATTTATTATGTTGTCTAATCTAGGGTTTCTGGTAGCTAACTTGTTTGTAAAAATAAACACCATCTGGATCATTTTAAGAAAACATTTTAAATATTCCAGCATGCTTTCAAGTTATCAATAATTTCTCTGAGCTATCATTTTATATACTTAAGCACTGTTACATTCCCACTGTTTGTCACTGAATTCTGCCTCATTCAAACTGCTTATTCAGTTTCACTAAATCACCTTAAGTCACATCATAGCTTAGCTAGTGTCTATATTGAGTTACATACAATATAACCTTTAACAAAAAACAATGGCATATTGAATTTTAAGTTACATATCTGTTAATTCTTGTAATTATTACATATGCAGGTGCTCCAAGAAAAGTATGGTGGGTGGCAGAATATAAGCATGATAAGTTATTTTAATGATTATGCAAATCTGTGTTTTGAGAAGTTTGGCGATCGTGTGAAATACTGGATTACTTTTAATAACCCTTGGGTAAGTTACTGATGGCTTTCTTTTGGGCTACATAGATTTGGTCCCCAAATTTTGGGAGTGACCCTATAGTTACTTTTTTTTTTCCTTCTCATGTACTTGTAGGCAGTTGCTGAAGAAGGCTATGAGACAGGAGAGCATGCACCAGGACTGAAGCTCAGTGGAATAGGGGCATACAAAGCAGCACATCATATCATTAAAGTAAAACTAGAAATATGTTCTTTCTTGTATTGCTATCTTATTTTATGACTGAGATAAGTGGGTCTTAATTTTTTTCCCCCAGGAAAGGAAGGTTTTGTAGCAAAGATTCAACTTCTGAACAGCATACAAAAAGCACTCAAGAGTTAATTTAAATGGAATTATAAACTACTGGTGCTGAGATAATTAAGTATGCACTAGTATTGGATGCATGACATAGCACTCAGCTGCAACAATTCAGAGGACAGGTTTTTAAAAAAACCCTCTATTTAATTGTCTCATTGAACATACTGCCAAATAGATCAGAAGAGAGAATTTTAAGGTAGCTTCTATAAACAAAGGGTGAAATCCAGCCTCACTAGTCTCAATGGAAGTTTTGTGATTGACTTCAACAAGGCCAGGATTTCACCCAAAGTGAACAACCTTCATTTAAAGAAAAAGTTTCTCATTTAAATACAGACACACAGTAGAACAGATCTGCAGTAAAACAGAACTCTCCATTAAATGTTGGATGTCACCTTCACGAGGCCGTCTTGGGAGCTGCAAAGGACTCTCACATAGGTCTGGTTGACATCTTATTTAAAACAAAAGCTTCCATGAGAAACAAATTTTTTTTGAAAAACCTACGGTAACAATTTCCAGATGTGCATTTGTGCGACAAGTTTATCTTCCATGCTTCTATCACAGCTCAGGACAACTGTACCCTCCATTGTCCATCCACTCTCAGACTCCCAGCTCCCATGTCGCCACCTTTCTTGGGTGGAGACATGCATCTCTCTCCCTCCAGACTGGGGTGTATCCAGGCTGCACAAGTTCCCTACCTACATTGTGAATTCCCCAGCAGAATACATGACCTCAGCAGTGCTTTGCCTTCTCTGAATCCTGAGGCTATAAATAGCATAATTGTCTACCAGTATAAGTTACCACACAGCTCTTTCTAAGCAAGTACATTTATCCTTAAGGTAAAAGAGAAAAAATATTAAAAAAATAAAAACCTACACACAAGCTAATAAGGTTACCAAAGATCACCTCAACTCCACGAGGGGCTCTGGCAAGTGAACAGTCCTTCAAACCCCACCAAGGTTTTTGGTTTTTTTCCTGTTCATAACTGCCTTGGCTCAGAACAACCACCCCCATGAATCTCAGAATCATTCTTTTATCCAGTCTGGGCCTCTGATCTTGTCCTCACGTAACAGTGATCAGCAGACAATGGGTTTCTGCTCAGGGCACAACTTCGAAAGGTTGGGTCGGGAAGTGAAAAGTTGCCTTTCCCTCCTTCCGAGTATTTCCTAGGAATCCCAATGAGCTTTGTTTGTCTAGCACAGTGATTCTCAAACTTTTGTGCTGGTGACCCCTTTCACATAGCAAGACGCTGAGTGTGACCCCCCTAAAAAATTAAATATATTTAAAAGTGTTTTTAACACCATTATAAATGCTGGATGCAAAGCGGGGTCTGGGGTGGGGGCTGACAGTTCACAACCCCCCATGTAATAACCTCGTGACCCCCTGCGGGGTCCCAACCCCCAGTTTGAGAACCCCTGTCTAGCACATTGTTTCAAAGAGACATTTGAAATTCATAACACTTCCCAGGGTTCACATTAGCCATGTCTCCTCCCTAGAGACATTACATACAATCCCACAATAATACATTCCTATTTGCATTTTTAATAGAATGAACTCTAAAGGTACTGAAATTTAAATTAATAAGGTTTAGCTTAATTCAACAATGTTTGTAGAGGATATTGCCGTATCTGTCAGAGATTCATTGACTCTTCCTGTACTGATTATTGCACGATAGGTTAGCATATACATATGTTCTTTTAATTACAGACTCATGCAAAGGTCTGGCATTCTTATAATAAGACATGGCGTAGCAAGCAACAAGGTAATAAGTATTCATTGTGTAATTATGCCTCTGCAGTAAGCGCTTAAAAGATTATGCATAACTGCAGAACTGTCACTTTCTATTTTAAGGTATGGTTGGAATTTCTTTAACTAGTGCCTGGGGTGAACCTGTTGATCTAACTAGCCAGAAGGACATTGAAGCTGCTGAAAGATACGTACAGTTTTACTTGGGATGGTTTGCCAATCCTATTTACAGTGGAGACTATCCTGAAGTTATGAAGAATTATGTAGGTAAGTCATGCTGACTATTTATACCTTGAATAAATAATATAGTTACAACAGTGACAACCTGATCAGTGTGTATTTTAGTCCAAATTAAGGATAGGGTTTTGGAGGAGGGTTATTAATAAAAATCATTTTTCTGAAAGATTCCAGATAAAAACAAAAATATTATTTTTGTTAATTAAAAACCAAACAGTAGTTTGCTCCTCTAAAAAGTATAATTATCCACATTTTTACAGATGGGGAAACAGAAGAAAGAAGTTAAGTTATGTGCCCAAGAACACATGGCAAGTTAGCGGCGAACACCTGACTCCTAGTGATGTGCTTTAAGACTGGGATTTTCAAAGGAGACTATGGGAGTTGGACACTTAAATTCCTGTTGCGCCTCTGAAAATCCCAATCTAAACCACATTTCTTCAGTCTTAGCCACATCAAGTAACGTTTATCCTTTACTATCCTTTCTTTAAAGGTAGAAAGAGGAAGACTGTTGTGTTCAGAGAGAAAGTGCTCACTCAAGGCTACACAATATTAGCACTTAAAATTTAGGATAGTTTAGTTTTGCTTTTGTGGTGTAAACAGTCAATCATGTGCGGAAGATGCATTTACCATCTTTTTTTGAAAAATTTTGATTTAATAGGTAGAAAAAGTGCTCAACAAGGCCTGGGCATGTCAAGATTACCAACCTTCTCAGTGCAAGAGAAAAGCTACATTAAGGGTACATCTGATTTCCTGGGATTAAGTCATTTTACCACTCGTTACATTATACAGAAAAATTATTCCGCCCTCAAAGGGCCCAGTTACCACACTGATCGTGATTTGGTAGAACTGGTTGATCCAAAGTGGCCAGATCCAGGATCTAAATGGCTATATTCTGTGCCCTGGGGATTTAGAAGGTTACTCAACTTCATTAAGGTAATTTTAAACTAAGTCTTCTTTAAAGGAAGTTAACTAACAGTCTTGATTAATACAGGGTATGAATCTGTATCTCAGTGTCAGGCATAAATATCCAATACATCCACCAGTATTCTTATCTGTATATTGAAGGCTTGTTTATTGCCACATACCTAGCACAATGGGGCCTCAATCTCAGTTGGGGTTTCTTTGCACTATATTCATAGAAATAGTTTATAATAAACTTCAGCTAACCCAAAGAAAAAAGTTAAATTTTTAACTATGCTTTTCTTTTAAATGTAACCATAGTAGAAAAAATATATAGTAAATAGATTGAAACCAGTTTTCTATAACTTTAATTTTATTTAAAAAAATTAATTGTAGTTGTATTAAGTATAATATTATTTCATTATTCCAAAATGAATGTTTTTCTTTGTAGACACAGTATGGGAATCCTCTCATTTACGTAACAGAGAATGGAGTTTCAGAAAAGCTGCAGTGTATTCAGTTGTGTGATGAATGGAGAATTGAATATCTGAAAGGGTATATTAATGAGCTGCTAAAAGGTGAACTTTAAAAACAAATTTTGGCACACATTTTATTGTGACTTTGTCCATTTTTTAAGCACTCTGATATTCTAACTCTGAAATTCTGACCTATACTGGGTTCAACATTGGAATAATTTATCAATTTCCATATTTACAAAATAAAAACACCGCACCTAATAATATACCATAATTACTCTTATGAAATCTTCCAGTGCATCTAGACTAAGGATAACAGTTTCAAAAGTGTCTAAGTGACTTAGGAGCCTAAGTCTCATTGACTTTCAATAAGAGTCAGGTACCTAAGTGACTTTCATGCTTTTGAAAATTTTACCCCAAATTTTTCCTTCATTTTTGGTATAAAATAGGGCTGGCTTAGCACTATGTTTCTAGTGAAGACAAACTTGATCTGGTTGTTAACAAATTTGAAATCTATTTTCAGCCATAAACGATGGCGTTAACGTAAAGGGTTACACTGTCTGGTCTCTGCTGGATAAATTTGAATGGAATAAAGGTTATTCTGAAAGATTTGGATTATACCATGTTGATTTTAAAAAGGGGAATAAACCCCGATACCCAAAGGCATCTGTCCACTATTACAAGATGATCATCAGTGCAAATGGATTCCCAAATCCAAGAGAGGTGAGTTCTATCATTAAACCTGCTTATTCCTAATTTAGGACCAAATTCTGCTTTGTTTGAGATAAAAAAATAACTCTCATGAGTAACGAATGTGGGTTTTGACCTTAGATTACTATAGTATACCTACTCATTTAATTTAGGATTGTGTCAACTTGTGGGAGGGGGATAGGATGACCAAACAGCAAGTGTGAAAAATCAGGACGGAGGTGGGGGGTAATAGGAGACTATATATGAAAAAGACCCAAAAATCAGGACTGTCCCTATAAAATCAGGACATCTGGTCACCCTAGAGGGGGATGAGAGGGGAAAGAGAATGATGAAATCTAATCTTACTATTATTGTTCTTTTATAACACATCAGTAAATTAACTACTTAAATAAAACTTTGTAATCACAATACCCACATTATTAATTTACTATGTTTAGAGACATTGCCTTTTGTGCTTTACAGACATTGCATGTGCATGATATCTAAAACAAGAAAAACCCTGAGAAATAATATTGAGTGGGTTTTCCAGTTTATTTTGTATCGTCCCAAGCAATTAACAACATGAAAATGTATTAAAATAATATTCATCATAATATGTACAAAGTAACATAAAAGTCATACAATCGACATGTAGTGTGAGAATAAGAGTACTGGAAAGAGTTGTAAATGACTAAAGTTCAGAGGCATTGAAAATGGTGCTAATAAGACTGAATATATTCATAGTTTGGTGAAACCATTAGTATCACATCAAATAATAAATAATATTGATTTTTAGGTGAAAAGTTGGCACCAAAAGGCCATAGAGACTTGTTCTATCACAAACCAACTCCTTGCTGCAGGTAATTACATTTATTCTGTATTTCTCATCCAGTAAATATATATTATATGGGTTTAAAGGGAAAACATTTCTGTGACTGAACATTAAAACTGGGTTCATGAAATATTTTCTCCTTGAAAAGAGAAAGCTAAATCTTTTTAAAAATTATGACAAACTTCAGAATCAAACAGTACCTCTTAATTTACTACTAGTAATTCAAAATAGTGCAGCTAACAGGATTGTATTACAGTTTATTAATATTTCTGAATTTTCTTTTCTTAAGAATTATAGTAAAAACACTGAGGAGTCACAACTGTTAAAAACTTACTTCTGCAGATATTAATATTTCTCAGTGATTGTTTGCCCTTTTCAAACATAAAAGCAAAAACAAAAACAAAAACCAAACTCAGGGCAATCATGCAACAGCAGAAAAAACAAAAAAAAAAGCGAACTTGTAGCCTCTGAATGATGAGCATAAAAACTAGGGGTGAGAACTCGCAGCCCAGTGGGAGGGAGAGCTAAGGTGACTTTAAACCACCTTTGTGCTTTGTTGCTCTGGGCACTGGAGAAGCTCCTGGCATAAATTAGACAAGCTCTCAGAAACTAAATTAAGGCAGCTTCCCCAGACTGCCCTACAAACCACAGCACTGCCTGGAATAGCCACAGTGCTGTGGCCTGCCTCCAACACCTCCCTTCTGCCTCCAGCTCCCTCTCCCATGCTGGGGTTTGTGAAGGGATCATCAATTCCTAAACTGGAGGGAAAAACTCTATTGGAGTGGACTCCTGAAACCATTAAGGAAGATGGGATGAATATGGTACATGTGTGTGGCCCATACTGTAGGATTAAGATATGAGGAGTCCATCCCTATGAATTAACATATCACTATAGCTTAAGTGTGTTTCTCATTCAACTCTTTGAGGGCTACTAATATATATATATATATATATATATATATATATATATATATAT